ACAGCACAGGTCACAAAATATTTTGCATATGGCTCATGTTTTTTGTTTTATATTCACAGGTTAATTTCAAAGGATCACATCACAGGTTACATGGTTTTTTTGCACATGGCTCAATCAACCAAATAATTGGTTGCAACTCACAATAGATCTTGAAAAATTTACAGGTTACAGTATTGGTCATAATCAACCAAATAATTGATCACAGACACCAAGCTCCATCTCATCCCACCTACAACCATTGCTACGATCGCCACCACCAAAACCATGACCACGATACCTCCGTCAAACACACAGCACCGCTAACACCACCATCACATCCAATATAACCTCCGCCACCGTTGGTGGGAAAATTCTCCTTTTCTTAACCAGACAGCTTCCCTTATCCGACGCAGCTACCGCATCCAGCAACTCACCACAACCACTATCGCTAACGGTGCCAACACAACCGTAACTCACCGCAAGCGTCACCATCGCAGCCAAAACAGCCTAACCCATCGCCACAACCACGCAGATCAGCCACCACAATGCAAACACCACTAAAAAATTGAATCAAAAAATACCCGTCTAAACTCCCGTAGCTCGCCGCTGTGAGAAGCGACTGGCGTCCTCTCCATCGCCGGAGACCATAGTGGAGCTCGTCGCTATGAGAAGCGACTAGCGTCTTCTCCATCGCACTTCCTCTCCACCGTCGCTATCCTAAAAATCGCACCTCCACCATTGCTGCTTCGCTGTGCAGCGCCACTTTATCTCCCTTCCACATGGCCGCCATCGAGGGTTGCTGAGCGTCAACGACATAGATGAAGAATTCAGGCTGGTCGGAGTGTTGACCACTTCTGAAGACTTTGGAACAGTCGAAGGCGGTGACTGTAGTGGAATCACCGGCGGTGTTTGCAATAAATCAAATATAGAGGGGAGAGATGGAGAGGGAAATGAGGTGTAGAGAGAGAGAGTGAGAGAGAGAGTGACGGTAATTAGGGTTTGGTGGAATGAAATTAATTACTAATTAGATTGGGAAAATTGTATAATTAATGTTTAATATTTAAATAAACAACTTAT